CCACATGGCAGCTGCACAACAGAAACCACATCAGCTGCTACTGTTGGTGTTGTTGTTGTTGTAGAGGCTAGAATCGAATCTCCCTTGCAGACATGAGTCTACTTTGGCTTTCTTGTGGTCTGGTAAAATGGGTGTCAGCCTAAAGTTTACAACTTGTAAAATAGCAGATATGGCCCAAATATCCCAAAACAAATGTGGGTCTTTTGGGGCAAACCTGCAGTGCTTTAGGCAAGATGTAGTCTGGATGTGAACCTGCAGTGGAACATGTGGTTAATGGTGAATATGCAGGAAACAAAATTAGTCCACCTCTAGCTTCTTTGGATGACATTCTGTATTGCTATGGCTTACCTGTGGCCCAGATCTGGCGAACAGGAGCGGACCAGCCAAGTGCCATCCTCCCATGCTTTATGTGGGCCAGATTTGGGCCACAGCAATCTGTGAAGGAGCAGTATGACCAGACAGCAGATGTGCACAGCACTTTATCTGTCAGTGGTGTTGTTTGGTGTCAGTGCCTGGTCAAAGGTGGAGGTCTGACCCATACCACATTCTGATGAAACAGCACCTGTGACAGCTGGTTGGTCATGTGATCCTCCTCACGTGCGCTTCACCTGTCACTGCAACCATCACCTTTCCTCCTTACCGCCATGTTTTTTATTCTGATAGATCCATTTACAAAGACAGACACACACTCACCGGCCAGTCCCCCGCCTCCATCCCCGTGGCCCTTCCGTCTCTGGAGGATGAAATACGGGTTGGCTCTCTCGGTGATCCACAGCGCGCCCGCCAGTAACACGTCTTCGGGACTGACCCACATATTTGTCCACGTTTGTTTATTCGTCTTTTTTAAGAAAACATCGAACACGCAGGCGATTCTCGACCCTTAAAACCCCACCTGGAGCGAGAGAAAGATCCGGGTTGCTTTAATGTAACCTGCCAGCACGGAGTGGCTTGGATCGGATCGGCCTGCACCAGATGGAAGTCCTGTAGCCGATATTTCGTGCGCACAAACCGTGTCAGCAGCAGCCTCCTGTGCGCACCGCTGAATGGAGGAGTTTGTTTTACGCAGCCTGGCTCGGTGTCGCGGCCGCAGAGCGCAGCGCAGCTCCGGGATCGGATCAGTCTTTGTTGTCCATGCTCCGAGGCTCCGAGGCGGCAGGTGCGATGATCCGGGTCACGGCCGATGTTTGAGGAAATCTTCTTCACGGTCGATCGACAATGGCAGCTGACAGTCTGCAGGGTGCCACGGCGGAGCTATGAGTCCGTGTGGTGAGACGACACCTCTGATGTTAACTCAACAATAACGCTGCGGATCTTCCTCCTCCTCCTCCTCCTCCTGCTGCTGCTGCTGCTTCACGCCAACTAAAAGTGTGCGCGTCACCGGCTGGACATCGCGAGACGTCAGCGAGCAGAGCAAGAGGCGGGTGCACGCCATGAAATAAAGGAGTACATATATGTTTCTATTCTAACATTCACGATTCGTGTCAGGTTTGTTCTGCTCGTGGTAAAAAGGAAAGAAAGATATCTGAAAGATGTGTTATGTCACTGCCCAGAAGGACATTCATGGAAGGAGCTACCATTTGTTGAGTTCAATAATAAATGTAGATGTATCAGTGTATCCAGAAGTATAGGAAATGGAATGGATGGATGAAACACTGTGCAGCTACACAACGTGTGTTAATGTTGTGATCTGTGTAAAGATATGACGTAGACAGTGAGGAGACTTAGTGGTTTTAATTTGAATAACTGGCTGAAGGAACATTGTAGAGACAATGACTCACAGATATGGATGTGGGTCACTTCAGGCAATGATGTGGCTCTTCTGGCCTTCCTGTGGCCCTAACCAAATGGATATGTTCTATTCGTTTTAATATAAGAGATATAAACCCTGTGGGCACAACAGATGTTATGAAAGACCGACTGATAAAGTGAACTCCAAACAAGTGGCTATGTTTTATCAAGTTTTATCCTATATATTTTCTGGCGCACTGTTTTAGTGTTGTTTGTATCTGTTGTGTTGTCTGTCTTTTCTTCTCATGAACAAAAGTTGGCCCTGCCTTTGCTCATACAGTCCCCTTCAATCCAATCAAGCCGCAACAAATTACACACACTCATAGATATCAGTTCCCCAAATATGTAAATATATATAAATTATTATTTTCAGTGAGATTCATGAATTGTTTATTGTAAAATTGGTGCAAATGTTAAAAAAAATTCTGTTCAGGGAAGGGAAATACAATTTGTGGATGTGCTTCTTTGTGTGGATCCACATAGAAATGTAATGTTTACTTTCTTGGACCATGTTCCATCCTGTCATATATTTCACATTTGGTCTTTGCAACAACACCAGTAGTCTTGTGTCTCTTCATGTAAACCCAGACAGACTCCATTAAGTGTTGAGACCAGGTCTTTGCAGGGGCCACTGCTGCAGGACTCATTATTCTTCTTTCATCAAGAAAATGTCTCATGTAAGCAATTAGATTAGATTCAACTGTATTGTCATTGCACATGTCACAAGTACAAAGCAAAGAAATGCAGTAAATTAGGATGGAATTAAACACGTGTGACTACTAAATACCCCACAAGCACTGGGAGACCATGACGCATATGTGTAAGAATTTAATTTCCTTTGTCGACTTTCAAAAACAGGATGCAGAACGGGGCAGCAGCTCTGTGCTTGTGGGTTGATTCAGCTCAGATGAAACCAGGCCTCAGCTGCTTGTTGACAAACTTTCCCCTCAGACAGAGAAACCGCGGCATTTTGCGAGACACGGTTTGTGCCCACACGTACAAGGCCGACTCCTCCACACAGGTTGGTACCGCAGGTGCAGAAATGATGAACCTTTACAGTAACCGCACTCTCTCCAGTATGGTTTCCTCTATTGGTTCCTACATGAGACAATTGTACTGAAGCTGTGTGTGTGTGTGTGTGTGTGTGTGTGTGATATCAAGTGGTTTTGTTAATGTCAGCTTGTGGTAATCAACACAAACATCATTGTTTTTCATACAAAAACAACAAATAATAAGTCATCACTTGATTTATTGATTAAGTTACCACATTACAACCATTTGAAACAATCAAACACATCTAAAATAGACAGGAGAGCACCAGCCTGAAGGCTAAAGACCTATCTCCTAAAAGTCCCTGGTTATTTTGGATCTGTTTCATCATGTTTCATTTTCGTCCTTGTGTCATGCCACACGTCTCAATAAAATCCCATAAAAATCAGTTCTGCTGTTTTTGACCAATACTACTGAGACAATGGAATGACAAAGAGAAACACAATCAGTCCCCTAAATATGCCTGTTCATCAAGCTCCATGAATTATTCCCTGGGGAAATAGTGAAAGGGAAAAGAAATAGATATATCTGCCGAATCCCAACTACCACCCATCTCCCAGACTGAGTGAAAATCTGTTGAATAGTTTGAGTGTAATCCTGCTGAGAAACAAACAAAGTGAAAAACGGAGTGGAGGTAAATATAGCAGATGGATTATAAAAACAATTTATTTGAAAAAATAAACAAACAAATCCTTTTATTGCTCAGTTTGAAAAAGACGTCAATGACCACAGGGACGTCAACAAACTGCAGTCATGAGTTAGTGGAAACTTCAAACAATGAAACCAGATCAGAGGTGTGGATGAGAGGACGATTCAGAAACACACACACACACACTGAGTCTGTGGTTCACAAGAAACATCTGCTGACTAAAACCCAAAAAAAGAGATCTCAGAAATATTACAATCAAGAATTGTTGATTTACAATAAAGGCAGGGAGGGTCACAACGTAATTTCCAAGAGTTTAGATATTCCACAGTCAATTTAGTTTGCAGAATGATCAGTGACTAAGAAGCAAATTCAACAGACCCAGGATATCTTTTTGTTATCCAGCTTCACTAAACCTAACATCATGAAGTAAACATAAAGTTCTTTATACCATATAAGAGGAAACGCTTGATAACCAGCTTCATAGCACAGAGGAGCTAAAGTGAAGTGTTAGGTAAAGTGAGGCCGGATAACAAAAAGTTATCCTGAGATTGTTGAACAAGCTCAGTGATACAGGCCTCTGGTGTGCATGAGGAAAACCTCCGCTCTGCACAAAAAACAAAACTTCACAGTGTGGCTCCATGAGGCCACGGGGAACATTTTTTGGAACTAAGGTTGAATTGTTTGGGAAGAAAAACAAGTTCTAAATGTGACGTAAAAAAGGTCACCAACATGATAACATCATCCTTAGAGTGAAGTTGGAGGGAGCTTCCATTCCCCCCTCAGCAACACTGTGACAGTTTAATGGGCATTAGACATGAAAGATTTGAATTGTTCGCGAGTGTCAAGCCCCACGATTATGAGGCCCTGTGGATAAACAACAGGTAAAATCACTGACCACCACTGACACTAATCAACAGCAGAAACAGACCAAACCGTGGGATTTATTAACATCACACGACTACACACACAAGGTTAAAATCCCATGTAGGGAACCAGCAGTCCCCCACACTGGAAGCCTCTCATCTGATCCTGACACTGGAGTTTTTAAAGAACCTCAGTTCACTGACTAAGTGCACCTCAGTGATGACAGGAGATAGAGGAGAGACAAGAGAAAAAGGGAAAACATACAGCCGTAACAGTGAGCTTAAGCACGTGTTCTTGTACACTTGTGACTGAGATTAGGATCTGATCACATCTTATGACCGATCACTGCAGAATAAAGGGTCCACATATGTATTTAGTGGGTTAGATAATGATCAAGATAAAACACCATACAAGTGTATAATTACTGCATTGTTCTCAAATCCAATGAAGAGTATTTTTTATTTACTTTGTCTTTACTTCAGCCTTTAGATCCTGAACTTGCTCACACTCGTGCGCTCTTTCTTTACAGTTTTTAAGCAATTTTATATTTAATTTGATTTCTTTTTCATTATTTCCTTTTCTTTTAAATGTTATTTTTAACAAGCTTTTATTTTATAAACATGTTTTTATTTGTATTTATATTGCCTATTAAGCACTATATATGTATATATGCACATATACAAAATAAAGTATATTACTTTTGTTATTATATAACGGAAAACGTGATACTGTAACTTTCAGCCCTCAAGTCCCGTCAAAAAATCATGTATCGGACAATCTGTTCCACTTATTTCCTGAATCACATCCCCATTCTACTCTACATGTGGTTTTTCAGTTCTCCGTTTAAAATAAGGGAAGAAGAACTGTGTTTATTTTTTCTGTACGCAGTATGTTATTTCATGGACTTGGTTTTCTCCCTCCCCCCCAAGCAAAAAGCAAAACACTGCCGTATGATCAGACTCGGGCTACACCCTCAAAAACAAATGCTGTTTTAATTGTTTTATTTAATGTTGCCATTTTGAAGCATCAAAGAAGAAGTGATTTCTGGGAAACGAAAACTGTAGTTTCATTTGCGTAAGACAAATAAACATAGTTTAAACAAATGGTATCGGATCAGTTCATAGATGCATGTACTAGCGGATGCCCGACCTGGCATTTTGGTCCGTATTGAAGGCATTTCCAATGCTGGTATTGGAACATCTCTGATTATAACTGATCCTAATGGAGGTTGAACAAACAGAAACATGTTACATGAAGTAGGACATATAACTTTAACTAACTTCCTAAAACGTCTTAAGAGCAGAGCTTGAAATAGCAGGATGGATTCTGAAGTTTCTGGGTGAATAAACATCCACTTTCACATCCATTTCAGGACTGTCGCCTTTCAGTTTCCAGACTTCAGTTTAACAAAAGCAGGAACAATGAGGAGATCTCTGTTATAACACTGATTAGACAGAAAGCGTCCTTCAGATGAAACTTGCTGTTTGTACCGACACATGACACGCTGACTTGTTAACATCATGTGCCAGTGTCAGACTCATACTGTGAAAAACCCACACAGCTGTCGGGACAGAACAAAGAGCTGGCATTTTACAGTTGGTTAGACTTCTGAGCTCTTTCTTCACCATGAAAAGAAAAGAAAACTGTTAAATGTCTCCCTTTTCTAATGGGACTGCACAGATGAGTTTCATCCACACTTCAGGGAAATCACCACTCAGAAAAAGACTCTTTCCCAACTCGATGGGGTTCTTCTGTAGAATTTCCCTTTGTCTTCTGACCATGTTGGATATGACTGTGTGCTGTGTGCTGCATCTTCTCAAGTCTCCACACACATACTGTACATGATCATTGCTGCTGCAGTGCCCTCCCTTGGCCAAATTCAAAACTACAGATTTTCACAACAGGAAAAAATGTACCAGTGACGTTCATATCTGTCCTCAGAGGCCAATTAAACAGTCACCATCATTCTCCTGGGCTTTCACAACAAAAGCATGTGGACACTCAAATACAACACCTATGTTATTGTTGGACATGTCAGTCCAAAACCTTGGGTGTTAATATGTTGCTATGGGGTCTCCCATCCTTGGGGAAGTCTTTCCATGTCATTTTGATTGCAGGAATTTGCACGCAGCGATTTCAAACAGCGCTGACAGTTTACTTGATTTCACTATCGCTCATGGTTTGGGATTTGCAAACTCCCATGCCGACGACTTTGAAGGCCGCTCCTCTGTACGTTGCAACACAATGGGCATCCGTGCGAAGGTCTGGTTGAATCTGCTCCCACACGTTCTTTTCGGGATCCAACTCCTTATCTGGTTCACCTGTAATCCAGAAGTCGGTTTGATTCATTAGAAGAAATCCCTGTTCTCTACTGTGCTTGTGCATTTTTTTGTAGGATGTACAGCCCTTGCAGAACATACTCCACACAATGGCTTATGCTGCTGTAACAGTCTCCACTGGTATAGAAAGGTGTTCCATGGGATTATGGAAATTGGGTGCAGGGATTTTTTCCCATTCAGCCTCAGGGGAGAGAGGCCAGCAGTGAGGTTTGGAGGTGAGGTCTGCTCTTCTAGTTCATGTTGTTTGATGGAGTTTGAGGAAACCAGCTCTCTGTGGACCTGACTTTAAGGTGTGTCATAGTGAAATTGGAGAGGACCCCTGCCAAACGGCTGCCATGAAACTGGAAGAAAAACCATGTAGGCTGCAGCACTGAGATTTCATTTGAGTGGAATTAAAGGCTCCTTTTTACTGTGTGATGACAACGGATGTCCCACAGTGTGGTCTAATAAAGTCTCAGCCTCAGTCTATGTCAAACTGTAGGATATAAAAACTGATGTTTGCTGAACAGTGGTACTTTGATGTAAATAGATAAAAAAATACATACAGAGGCGTATTGCATTCACTTGAGAGTAGAAATGTGCTGTTTTTCTGAATTAATGAAATAGATTATCCCAAAATCTTGTCTCATCTGATTAGTTTCATCAAGTTTTTATTTTATTTTAGAGACGTTGAAAGATTCTAGTGTCTCTAGTCTGTCAGCTCTACACAGGCACCTCAGGGCTTTGGGATTGCTCAGACGGAAAGCACAGAGATTTTGAGCGAAAAACAGAGCAGAATATGTTTAACTCAAGTAAATGTTATATGCTTCCATTGGTGTCTGATAAACAGATATTTTTGAGGTAAACAAGTTTTCAGCAGAAACGAGCAGTGTACTCTGTGTCATCTCATGTTCTATTTACATGTATGGTCAGTCTGGACTCTGGTCTCGTGGTGCGATGTAGATCCACTGTTTCATGATACAGAACAACTTTGTATGTTTTTGAATGTACAGTGTTGTTGTACCTGGGAAGCCCTGGAAAGTCACTCTGTCTCCTGGTGCTGCTCCACTTGGAGGATCGAGGATTTCGACCTTGTCTGGCGAGCAGGCGCACATGACCATCGCCTGGGACACCACACCCCTCATTTCGGCTGGCCTCAGGTTACAAAGCAGGACTGTCATGCGGTTCTGCAACTGCATGGTGGACAGAAGATTAAATACACTTTTATAGGCAATACAAACATGCTTCAAAGCTATTTTAATATATTTTCTGTATTTGAATGATAGAAGTGTGTGTTCATCTCAAAGCAGAGATAATGTTTTTAATCACTATTTAAACACCAGACTGCTTGACACAATATTTCATGATAATAAAACAGGAATGACATCCCCAAAGACTTTTGTTGCAAATTTTAAAAACACAAAATCTTAATGTCACTATACAATGCAATTGTAACCACGAAAAACAACCACAGGCAAAAAAGGCATACAACAGTATGTGGACTTATAAGCAAACAAAGAGTCAACAGTTTTTCTCCTTCCAGCTTCTGTTTGAAAGCCCCTGAATAAAGCTGTGTGATTCCCCTCAGCACCATCAATGTGTCAAAGAATGTGTAATATTTATCTTTGTGAGAGTTTTTTTTTTTAGCTTTTTTGGTCAAAGTCGCACAATGTTTTGCACACATGACTTAAGCAGGCATATGTTTCCATTGTATTCAAATAGTATAAGGCTAAAAGTGTGTCCACATACACATTTTGGGATGTTTCAGTCAGGACCATTTAGACAACAGAGTGCACACAGCCCTGACCTCAATCCCATTTTACACATTTTGGATGGAGTGGAGCGCTGACTACGAGCCAGACCACCTGACCACCTAAAATCACTGCCTGAGCTCACTAAAGCTCTTGTGGCAGGAGAAAACTGAGACAAATCCAAAATTCCAAACACATGTGGAAATGCTTTCATAACAGCAAATGGAGGGAGGAGGGTGTCAGTGGTCAGCACTCACATGAAGATGTAATATTGGTACATGGCCAAAAATATTTGGACACCCAATGTTAAAGTAGTAATAAGTATAGCTAGAAATCACATGATATTTTAGAATTTTTTTGATACCACTGCACAAATTATAGAAAATACCTGATCCGCTGGTATGTGCTGAGCCAGTTGACTGACCACTGTCCTGGGAGCCGCCTCTCCCACGTCAACCTGCTTCACATACACACTCTCAGTCTCTGAAGGCTGCAGCACTGTGATGATACGTCCAACACGCAAGTCGAGACGAGACACGTCCACCTGGGCATCCTCTGGGCTGAGGAGTGTCTGCTTCTTATCCCCTCCTGGGATCAAAGAGAGACAAATACTGACATATCAGGACATACTATTGAAACTCACTTTCCATTACAGCTTTTGCCTCTAACGAATTATAAAATTTTACAAACAAACAGATCTAGAGTCATGTTAGCAGCTTAAGGAGTGGTGTACGTGCTCTCACTCACAATATCAACAAGATGGAGTATGTTTACCATGTTCATTGTTCACCATCATTCACATGTAATCATGGTAAACATGTTCAGCAATAGTTTTAATAAAAAGCAAAATGATGTAAAGTTTGCTGTCTTAGAAAAATATGACACTAACAAATTCAAGAATCTGGAACCAGTGAATTTTGGGTTTTTATACTTCAAAAGTTAATCAACATGTTGACAACTGACTAGTTGACTAATTAATTCATAAACTGGTGATTTCAGCTCTACAGTTCTGTTTGTGGGAATCGATGAGGGCCAGTCTGGACCCAACAACTCATGTTTGGACCAAGCAGGGACACACACTACATGAAAACAAAGTGACAAACACTGATTGTTTCAACTGAATATTTAGATTGAGCAAAGTTTGGTTTGACTTGTAGCTGCAGCTGAAAAACACTGGATCTGCTCCAAACATCACTGAAGCTCTTGTGCATGAATGGGAGCAAATGTCTTAATGTGCACAGGGAGGGATGAGCAATAAAACAAATACTGGTTATTATTTGATTTATACACATTTTTGGGAAGTGTTTTTTTTTAATTCTCTGCCAATAAAGAGTTTAAAATCACATCCTTCACTCAGGAGCAAAAATCAATATTTAAACTTGAGAGAAATAATAATGTGATAGTAATGGTAATATTTTATTGATATCGACTGATATGTGCAGCACTCATATATACAAATACATAACTGCTACATGGCCAAAAGTGTGTGGACACCCTGACACCCTGCAGACAGTGTCATTCCCACGCCTCCTGAACGCACCTTTAGCCGTGTACGTGGACACCCTTCCACGGAAGCCCATCTCCCGGAGCTCCCTGCGGACGGTCCTGGAGCTCACGCTGGTCCCGGAGGCGCTCTGGAACTCGGCGGTGAGAGCCTCCACCGAGGGCAGACCCTTCTCCAGCGCCACCCTCTCCAGCACCTGGCGCTGCTGCTCCTGGAGCTTGTGCGGGCGGCCGCTGCGGGGCAGAGCCGTCGTGATGCCGCCGCGCTTCCACTTGAGGATGACGGAGCTCACGGTGGAGCGGGGCAGCTTCAGCAGGGCCGAGATCTCCCGCACCGACTTCTGACACAGGTGACAGCCGACCACGGTGCCCCGCTGGAAGTCGCTGAGCTCCTCACTGCGGCCCATCCTCTCCCCGCTGCCCGCTGCCTGGCTCTCCCGCAGGAGACATCGTTCCGCCCCCTCTTTTCTTCTGTGGTGGTTTTAATGTGACTGAGTAAAATACTGCCCTCCACAGGAAAAACATTATCACAACAATAACATCTCTGACGTCAAGACACTGTGAACAACCACTTATTGTTTTATTATATAAACTAATACTACACCGATCTACACTGTACTGCTCTAGACTACACCACACAATACTATACCATACTACGCAGTACTATACTATATTATACTACTCTATAGGATACCACGCCACACCATACTATACCATACCACGCCGTACTATACTACTCTATACAATACCACACAGTACTGCACTTCTTTATACCATACTACATTACTCTGCATTACTCTACTATACCACACTATACTATACCACACCGTCCTATACAACAATATACCGCACCATACTTTACTCTACTACTTCTATCATTTTATAATGTTGTACTTTATTTTGTTTCCACTCTTTCCTCGCATAGATTTTCTTTATTATGTTTTTGCTAATGTACGGCGGCCGAGCTCAACGCACTGCAAAAGAAAACAACACTTGCAAATTAAGAAAACAACAATTTGATGACATGTGTGCTGCATATGCAACTACAGAAACGCTCTGCTTATTGCAAAAACAACAATGGAAATGTTTCCAGGGGACCCAAAAACGTGAACCTGGCTTTAGTTCAAAGCTTTGTGTAGTTCCATCACCACCGACGAGCAGCAGACTTGAATGACTTGACCAGATCAGGAGTATTTTTCAGGATTTCAACACCACATATATGTTTGTTTGTTTGTTTTTTAATCCACACAATATTTTCTGAGAAATTCCTGTTTCACAATGTACCCCTTAAAATGGAATTCCACGGACCACTGTCATAGTATTGAAGGTCATGTACATATCACGAGCTCTGATAATGTCCTTTAAGTAGAAAAACATTCTTATTGACTTAATATAAAACAAGCAGGTTTACCAAAATTGGAAAAATCGGAGTAAAATTTATTAAAAGTCAAAATCATAGACATTCCTACACGTGCATCAAGGTACAAGAATAGGACAGAGACACCTCTAATAGTACATATAATTGTTTTTATATTACAAAATAGCAATGCTGTTATTTCTGCTGGGTTTAGTTACAATATATTGATGCCCCGCAACCCCCCCACCACACATACACACACATACACACACACACACACACTACAAATAAAAGATCATAATATTTTACGATAAGCAACAATTGACTCATGTTCCATGTTCAATACTGTAGCCCTCTTTCTTAAGAATTTCTCAAGTCATTCAGTTGAGCCACTCCCTGGTCACTGGAGGGATAAAGTGCAATATATGAAGGTTTACACAATGAGAAGAAATGTGACGGGAGACCAACAACAAAAATGACAACCATTATAATTTAAAAAAAAATGATGATGATAAACTGTACAGGTCCACCTGGTCTGGGTATTATTTTTTTTAATGAATTTTTATGAAACATAAACGTTACAGGGAAAACTAAGTTCTAAGAAAACTGTTCAATTCACATTCATTTAAATTAATTGTAAGATTTGTCAACATGCAAGTAGTTGTCCATTCAAGTTTTATTATTATTCTACACACTGTATTCAGTATAGGTTTAACCATTGTAATTGCAGTGTGTTACCTTTACTAATTAAATGTGCTATATGTTATTTTAATTAAATCTGCAGCCAAAAGATTAACGTCTGACCACAGGGACAACTGAAGAAAACCAGTCTTTAAGTTTAACTCACTATTTCTATATTCTGCTTTTAATAAGTGAGCCCCGTCCCTGTCAAATAAGATAAAACATGACATAGATAGAAAATAAAATTAGCAAATGAGGAGAATAAGGTTTCAGTAATCTATGAATACTTTTGTTGAAATTATAGTTTTCTCTTCAAGACAATTTCCCCCACAATTGAATTACCACATTCTTTCCATGAAACCAGTTGGATATAATCAGGAAACACATAAATAGAAGTGTTGTGCAATGTTGCAGGTACAATTCAGGACAACAATCTTGTTTTCTTGAGAGCACTAAATGTCATTACACGGAGCAGACTCGTGTTTCTGTATTTGAATTCTATTTCTTCCTAAGGGAGGTTTGTTACTGAAACACAATAAACTGAGAGATGGCGCTATAGATGAATCCATCATTTCTCACTCCCTCTGTAAAAACAACAAGACTTGAATCCTCTTTTAGACAAACCGGTTTCATCAGGCTGTGCAGCCAGAACTGAGAGATCTGGCACTGAAAACAAATGTGCTTGGCTTTGTCTTGATGTTTGGCCGACCAAACAAATGGTCAGATGGAGAGAGTGTTTAAGTGAGAAGACGACAGAAGAAAGGCCGACTAACAAGTGAGACTAGGAGAGCAGCAGATATTGATGCTGGTGGGTGTTTGTGGTTTATCTTATGTATTCTGCTATTTCATTACCATGCTAGATGCAACATACCGAGATGTAAAGGTCCAGATTAACGTCAAACTGGCATAAATGCGTCAATCTCCACTTTCATATCCACAAAAAAGGGTTATAGCTCAAGATTAATGAAAATGTCCATTCATGTTGAACTGCTCAGTATACGTATTTACAACTAAACAAAATAAAGGGAGGTAATTGAAAGCCTGTCAAGTGTTTTTCAAAGGCTGTGCATAAAGATGGATGACAAAAGTGAAGCCAATTCATCTTAAACGCCTCCTGGTGGCTGGCTGCAGTAACGCTCATAAACTCCATCTCCTGCGTGTTAAAAAGTCAAAGAAGTGTGTGTTCTATCACCACAATTTTGTTCATGTTTCCACAAAGTTTGGCTTTCACTAACTTTTCACGACAAGTTTGCTATAAAAACAGGGGAAATGTCATGATTGACAGATGAGGCTGACTCCTGATTGGCAGAGAGCATGTATCTCACTCAGGCAAAAGATGGCAGCGCTCATGTCAGGAATATTTTGGCATCAATTGTGGATAGTGGGAGGAAGTGGAGACGTGTTGTCCAATCTATAAACAGTCTAAGCTTTTTTATTCCAGACAATGAACTGCAGACAGTAAATGAATAACAGATGTTAGAACATTATCATTTCAACCTTTTTTAAATGAACTAATAATATCTAGAATGTGGCGTCGATAGGTTCAAGTGACTAGAACTAAGAACATAGAGGCTCACAGACCCCCCCCCCCCTCATTCCCTCCAAAAAACCCCAGCACAATGTACCCTACTCATACCAAAGCTTTTATGAAACAGTGAATCATTTGCCAGTATATCCCATGATCCTTCACTTCTGTCATTAATCCAAGCAAGGGGAGTGTGTGGACATGTGTGTGTTATGTAACAGAATCCCAGGTGGCTCCAGAATATAATGGAAACAGTGACTAAGAAAAAAAAAAAACAACAGTTAAATTCAGCTGGCTCCATCGATCGAGTGCGTCTGTGATTCTTTAGTGAGCGGGTCTACAGGAATGTGAGAGGAACCAGTCCAGACAGTAACAGAACCATGAGAGAAGAAGAATTATCCTGAATAAAAGTTGAAGCAGATTTTATATGTTATAACAGTCACCAGGCTCTGAATCTGTGCTCCAGCTTTATGATCATCATCAGAGCAAACAGGAAGCTAACTTTATGATTTCAAACCATGGGGAAATGATGTCATTTATTGATGTTCATTTTCATGTATTCAGCTGTCATTTGACTCTTCAGTACTTTTTGTGCAAATAATCAGAGACATTGGCCTCCATATTAACAATCTGAGCACATGGTCTTATTCTCTATTTTAACAATCTGAGCACATGGTCTTATTCTCTATTTTAACAATCTGAGCACATGGTCTGGCACAAGTGCATATAAGGTGCTTTCAACTTATGTGAGTTTCAACAGTGGAAAAATTGTCACTGCAACAGACGCATGCTGGTTGTACATTGGTTAGTAATGGGTGTGTTTGACAAACAATAGACCAATCAGAGACTTTATAGACTTGAAACACGAGCAGACCATCTGGTGGGGAGGAGATTGTGTCTTAAAATAACAAGGAAATACTGCACCGCTGACTTCAGACCAGGTTTTTGTGCAAGTGCTTACCACTGTTTTGAAATAGCAATTGTCCAACTGACCATCATTTTAAGATTAGCACAACCATGGGTGCTACGATAAGTGCAACTTTCATACGAACATCAGGCGCTGGACAGGAAAATGACAAAAGTGTCTCTGAAACTCGCAGAGTTTTTGTCAAGTGTAAGACAGAATCTAAAGGGGCCCATCAACACAATCAAGTCATTTCTTTAGTCTGTGTTTTGTCTTTTTTAAAGTATACTTGATTTTGTTACTTTTCTGTGTTAAAACACTAAAACTTGCTTATAACTGCAATGGTCTACTGCAGTGGAGAGCATACCTCTGCCAGTCTTACACATCAGTCAGATCAGGATTATTTTCTTGATCTGTACTTCAAATACCATCGTATTGATTTTTTTTTTTAATCAGCAGATTATTTCCTGAGAAATTCCTTATTATCCAACAAATTTGAGGAAAGTAATGAAAAGAAAATCCTGGTTCCACCCCAAAATTTGATGGGTTTAGTGCCAATCGGTTAAGTTTTGTGAAATCCGGACAGATAAACAGAGACAAGCCTCCTTAGCAGAGATAATACGATTGTAATATGAAATTTGGAGATAATTTAATAAGAATGAATCAACACTAAGAGGACTAAGTTTCAAAATGCATGTTTTCCTTCCCTACGTTTCATCCACACAGAGCTGGCAATATTCACCCCAGAACTCAATTATTGACATGAGGAGCATAACACAATAAAATTGAGAATCACAAACATGTGAATTTGATTAGAGTAAAATTCAGTATACGTGGTCACAGAGAGCAGGGGGGAAGATCTGCTGAGACTCAGCAGAGAAACCAGATCGTCTGTGCGATGTTGGCTGTGATGCAGAAAAAAATGCAACATAATAAATCCTACGTCTTCTATTGTTCAGGTGTTTTAGTCTGGGGATGTTTCGGAAGACTTCGAACATACTAGGGGGCACGCTTTTCTTTTTCCAAAATTCACAAGCTCATTGTAGCAAAAAAATTAATTTTTAACAACTGTAACATTTTCATGCCGTAATCTATTCATGCCATAAAAATGCAATAGAGCTTCAAATCCTCCCAATGAAAACTTTGACTGTTTCAAAGAAAAAAAAGTCCCTCTTTTTTTCCACCAAGCAATGTCTTTTGTGATTTTCAGATTCTTTGTGGTCCTGTTGTTTCTTTAGTTTTATTTCATGCACAGATTAGTGTCTCTCAGACTCGATTGAATCACATGTACACGAACTACAGCTACGTTTAGAATACGACTGATTAACTTGGCACACACTTGTTGACATAAGTATATTGGCTGGCTTGTATGTACACACTGTCAGAATTTGGTGGTGACAACCACAGCTGTCCTCAGCAGCGTGGATGTGAAACATACAGTACCTTCCTGACGCAGGAGGCCGACACCATGTGTTGTGGTAACTTGTGAATCCGCAGCAGTTTCAGTAGGGCAGTGGGTGACATCACTTTAAACTGCTCGTGGCAAACTATGATTGTCGGACGTGAGGACAGAAATAATCAATTGTGTTTGGTTATTTCCTCTTAACAACAGGAATACTCAGTTAAAAACTAAGGTCTTGACACAACAATGACAGAGACAGTTTAGAGAGTTTAGAAATTACAGCATAACGTGTGTGTGCATACATGTCTCAAATCCTTCCTGCCACATGGCCGCCTGAACTTGAAAACCTGTGCTTCAAGGTTTCAGGGGGTAATAGCATGTTATCCGAGTCTGACGTTGAAAAAATGCTGGTTTCACGCCAGCTGGGACTTTGATAGAGGATCCATCCTTGTGGAATAGGTTGGCAGTGATCTCATCGCAAGAAATCGAATAATCTGCAAATATATTTCTTTACATAATTAAAGCTGCAGTCGGGCTCACACTGTGTCCAGCAGCAGGCAGAGTGAGGAGAAACGTATTTTGACTTCTCGGTGCTGTGACGGCCACTGACATCTCAAAGACTGCGTGTGTGAATCTCTGATGCTAAGATGTGAAAAAGGTTACGTGGAGAGTAACAAGACCACCACAGTATGGGAGCTGCGTTCATCCACACAACGGTGAAAACATGTGACAGCAAGAGAACGAGCAAGCAACAAGTCTGCAGACACGGGGACGAGTCTGTTTCTCAGGTGGTACACACAGAGCAGGGTGTTTTTTTGCTGCTACGGGTTGTATTGCTCATTTGCCCATTTTCCATGAGATCACCTCCTCCAGGGGGCCAAAGACCCGGCGGATCTGTGGGAGCCCCCGATCACTCTGTTCTGCTCTCGTCATCCTTTCTCCTCTCAGCTCCGACCGGCTCAGGATTTGCCCTCGTCACATTCTGGCTCTGTGGACAGGTCTATTTCAGACATACCCACCTCCATGCCCATGATAACAGAGGTGTCAGAATCACTGCTGAGCGGAGGCTGGTGCTCACCTGAAGGGACAGAGAGAGAAGTAATTTATTATTTGACAGGTTGAAATGTGGGATGCAGCAACAGCAATAACTGTGAAGAGGCATGATCACGTCTAACGGGGAAGTTATTATCCTCCATCACCACGGGTTCATATTTGTTTCGGTTTGTCTTGATTTGTGCATTAGAATAAAGTTATTTAGTTGTTGTGATTGGTTCTTCTGTCCGTACTGTTCATGAAGCTACTACATCCTAGGTGCCAACATTTAATCTTAAATTAATCTCAAACTAATTTGTTCCCTATTTCATTTATTGTGTTATTGTTAATGTCTATTGTGTAGCACTTAATTCTTTAACTACTGTATTTGTTGTGTAGCCCTTTATACTTTGTGTAGAAAAGTTCTCTAAAATTAAACTTATTATTAATATTTACATAATGGTAGTGGATGTTTACATTTATTCAATTGCATTTACTTTTGCAGATTTTTTGGAAAAGTCAATTTAAATATACGCTAACCCAACTCTAAGACTTTCATGAACTGGCTTGTTTAAATCGTACTGAAAACATTTAAACTGTAGAGATCAGCTTTTGTGGGGCCTGTGATCGTTAGATAGATAGATAAAAAGATGACACAGCAACAAGCAAACACTCTTTTCTTTTTCTGTGTCCCCAACACACAAACGGTAAATGACCCTGGAAAGACTGATGGCTGTGATACCATTATCGACAGGGCTCATTATTCAGAGTAAAAAACACCACCACTGTCGAGCCTCTGAGGCAGAGATGGTGACAGATTGGCTCGTTCCTCTTGTACTAACTGCCCGTCAGTGTCAGTGTCTCTGTTAGCTCATTAGTGTGCGACGGAAGACAAATCACCTCGAGTTTATATTCTAATTACTATCGAGTAGAATACCAACCTGTGGCGAGCAGATCTGCTGCTTATCAAGCACAAAATCTTGAACATAAATCTATATTCGCAGTGTGGAGCGCAACGTCATGTTGCAGCTAAAACTTATTAACTGGCAACTGTTTCCATTTTCGGTCTACTGCATTTACAGTAGTGAGGGAAAGTTTCGAAACAGAAACACCTCTCTGTATTGTGCAACACTGTTGATCAGAAAATAAGAAAAACAGCCAATATATCCCGCAGCGAATAAGGACATGGAGCCAATACATGCTCGTGGCCAATCAGGAGTCAGTCTCAATCAATCATGACATTTCACCCGTTTTTAAAGCATCAGATACTTCATAAAAAAAGAAACGTGTACAAGCATCATGGACGTGTACTTTGTCTTTTTAGTTTGGCCAATGTCCTATCCACTAACATGGAGGAGGTGGGGGGTAAATTACCTATATTGCAGCCAGCCACTAGGGAATGATGTTTTAGGGAGCTGTCATGTCGTCCATCTTCATATACAGTCCATGATTTTAATAAAAGTCTTATTGATATAGAAAATATAACAATAAGAATAATACAAAATGTGAGATGAAACGTTTTCCCTGTTTCTTCCTCGAGCAACATTTAAAGAGGTGATATAAGCGTGTCTTCCTGTCCCTGTCTGCATCCGTGTTCTGGGAGTGAGACATATTAACATGAGCATGTACTCACACACTGTACAGTGGTAATAGCTCGCAGGTGCTCAACAGTCATAAGTTACAGAAACAGCCCATGGGCATTTTCTCAAGGTGGTGTAATGTTCAGCATAACATGAACAAACAGTGCATTTGTATGTGGGTTAGGTTGTGACTTTCTGGAACACCATCCTTCTCTCCTCCTGCATCACCCATGAGGATCTGAACTGGAAACACAGAGCAGGTGGCTGCTGACCTGGTTAGAGCCTCAGAATAAAACTCTGAGAAAACTCACATTCAACACTGTTAGAAAACTGAATATTGATTGATTAATGTGTATGAATATGAGTGAACTTTTCCTGCTTCTTTGTTTAAGATCTCTCCAACACTTACAGATAATATGTAAATATAAGTGCCTATGTTAATATAGGTGTGTGTGTCTATATAAGTATTCAGATCATTTACTTAAGTAAAAGTACCAATACCACAGTGTTTATGTATTGCATTAAAAATGCCATTTAACTAAGTAAAAAATAACATACAGCAAAGAAATTGTGGTGAGGTGAGGATGTGAACATGAACTGTGCAGTATGCACAGGAATAGATTATTGATAGTGATGCATCAGTGTGTGAGCAGCATCTCAGGGTTGTCGCAGCTCAACGTGGAGCTTATTCATCTATTTCATATACACTTCGATAATTTAAGTCGCTCAGATTTCTGACCCCCAAGACGGAAGTTGCAACTGGAACGTCCGCTCAATTCAGAATTTCGACTCGTAAGGATGGAGGAACTACACCCCCCCCCCGACCTCGAAATCCAAGATGGCCCCTTTGTATATCAACAGCAGTGAAAGCTAAAGTTTTTGACTGCTTATTAGCACTTCTGTCATTAAATGGTCCGGGCCGAGCTTCAAGGTGTAATGGAACGCAGGATTATTCTCGTGCTTTCCAACCTTCGGAGCGAAGCAGAGGAAAGAAGAACCTATGCACCGTACTGTATTCTCACATTGGCTCACTTGAGCATTTTACTGCTGGGAGGAAAAGTTCTGAAAAATGTTCAGAGCTGATTCAGACATTCTCACATACAGCTCCTCTGGATAATTTCAGGAAGATGTCCAGACTTCAGTTCATGATAGAGAGCTGTCAGTGGGATGTCTGTACTCACTGCTGGCCATGAGGTGGCTCTCTGCTGCCTGAAGCGGCGTCTCTGTGTCAGGTTGGAGCTGCTGCAGGCCTATCCCTCTGTCCGCAGGGTCCAGCACCACCGAGCTCTCGTTCACTGTGATTTCACTCGCGCCGCTGATGGGGTTGGTGGATGGACCTCCGACAGACATGTCGTAGTCTGGGGGAATCTCGTCTGAGCAGTCTGCATTGAGCTGGATCATGAGCAAAATAAAATGTCTTTAGAAATGATGATACGTGTCTTCACTTTCAGGTTTTGCACTTGGTGTTAATATGAGAAATTAGAGCAGTTAGTTATAAATGTCTGATGAGTTGACACAAAAACGACAGAGATCAGTTAAAGTGCACTTACAGGGACTCCCAAGGCTTTGAGGATGTTCATTTTACACATGGGACATGTCCGGTGGTCTTGTAGCCATGGATCTACACAGTGTTTATGGAAAACATGCCTGACAACATAAACCCACAGAGCTCAAATTAATAATACAAACCAGACATGATTGCTAACATGCAGCGCACAGTAATGATACATATTCTACAGGATATACAGATACACAGAGATGCTACATTTTCACAGTGATCATGAAAAAACCTCACCTGCATGGTAGCACCCTCACAACATCATTAGGTTTATAACCTTCAATGCAAACTGCACAGTTGTCAAAGTCTGACTCGGTCTCCTGAAATGCAAAACACACGCACAGACATGGAAGGTGATGCACAAGAAGAAAACCAATGAATTTTATTTTCAACATAAAATAATTACAGGATAATTACAATAATGAGGATAAACACATTTCTGTGAGTTCATGTTTACGTCTGAACTCAGTGCAGAGACTGTTGTTTACCTTGTCTCCTTTCTTAATGGTGCGTATTTGAAGCTTGCTGATGGCTTTTTTGGCAGCATCTCCAAGACGTCTCTGTAAGACATCAATAATTCTTTACTTTGTTGTTGACAAGATCAGTAGGTTCAGAGGACAAAAAGCAGTACCTCAGTAAGATGCCGATTTTTCACTGGTATGTTAGAATTCAAAAATCTGCTTTTTAGGATCAATTTCCGCATGTTGCATCTCTTAATTGAACATTGACTTTTAATAAAACCTTACTTTAATAACACACTATCAGAATATTAGATTAATTAGCCATCTTCACTATTGTATTTTATGAACGCTGCCATCCATCAGTCAGACAACGCTAGTCTGACTGATGTTAATGTTTTTTGGTAACAAAAACAATAAACTTACAGCTTAAGGTTGTGCCCATCAATTTATAAAAGCAGAAATAACCTGGATACATGTGGAAATAAAGGGGACATTTTCAAGACTGTGACTTGTGATGTGACTATTGCAACTGTTTCAAACATATTGTTCCAAATCCTCGGCATAAATGATGATAATAAAAATACAGGGTGAAATAGTAAATATTGGAAGAACTGAGGCCTTAAAATCTCTATCACCCTACTTGGCTGCCTTGGAAATAAATTGGAAACAGATTTGTTCAATGTCTGTGAATGCTTTAAACAGCGAAAATCAATATAATTCAAAGTGAAAAAGCAAACAATGGTTGCAATGGAGACCGGCTCTGATCATAACATGCTCAGTGATGTCCTGTCATTACAGACGTCAGAGGAACGTCAGAGGCGGCCATTCATAACATAGAGATGGCAAAAGCAAGTATTTGCACAGTCGATTCGGAGAGCCAGAGAGCTGAGCTGGTTGATGGTTCACTGGTTCGCTACGTCTCCGTACGACCAGCTGTCAGAATAATTCAGACCTCACCCTGCAGCTTTACAGCGTCCGCACCAGATGGTAAAGTGCATGGACACATTTCTAGAGTGAGACCACAGCACCACTGCACTCTGTGAGTCCTCTACACATAGATACACATCATCTCACAGAGTTATACTGCGATCTAACAAAGAGCCCACAGTCTGGTACCTGGTTGCGGTCCCGTGCGTTCGCGTAGCGGAACCTCTGGATGTAGTAGAAGACGAGCCAAGCGAGGGAGATGATCATGAGCACGATGAAGGAGATGGAGACGAACACCACCGACGTTCTGCTCACGTACTTCTGCAGGTTTCGGGTTCCAATGGTGATTTGCAGCATGACCATGGTTTTCTGCTCCAGCAAGGCAACGATCTCAAGCCCTTTAGGCTCTGGGATCATGATGGCGACAACATCACCTGTACCTGCACATGTGCGCACATACACACAC